TCTCCAGGAGTTTTTACTTGTTTTACACATGAATACAGCAATTTCAATAGGTGTCTGTCCCGTGGAACGAGGTCCGCCAATGGTAGCCGACGATTTGTCAGCGCCTTCAAACGGTCTCGTCCCGTGGGTGCGCAAACGAAAAACGCTCTCGTCGTCAACGTGTTAAATATATAGGTCCCGACGATTCTGAATGTAACACGAAGGGGCGTGAGAATCCCTCGAGTTAAGTTGGTCAATTACTGACCCTTTTAGATTCTAATGAGACGCGTCATCGTCGAAATTCCCTTTTTCCGATAGATAGGAGGAATTTTGTTTGTAATTTGGCATCTTCAATGATTTGGGAAAACCGTAGATGTCCGAATTGGACGGTTTTCGTTTACTTGGACGTGTATGGTAGCACCTCCTGAATGGAATTGTCGGTTGTCTTGAACAGAATTAAGTGTTGGATCCAACATTCTACTGAGCATACGGTAGCCAAGCCACATGGTGCAACTCCATCACTTCCGTTAAGGGAACTTACCGAAAGTAATGACTAATAGAACAGTCTTGAAGCATGTTTGTACGACATAGCTGTCAACGAATGACAACGACGAGATCCCAAGCAGAACGGACATCGACGCTTGAGTAATTGGCCAACCCACAGTGCCGAGCGTTGATTGTAGACGGGAGAATGGAGCACTGAAATCAATTATCGATTAGTTGCTATGCGCTTTCACTTGGTACTCTAAGGCCTCCATCTCCGGGAAAGCGTGCTTTTGATTTCTAAAACGATTCTATGGAAGGGAATCACCTTTCTGGATCACCGTCGCTGATCTTTTGTGTCATGAACGCGTAGGAGACATGGGCGGCAAAGTCTGGAAAATTCAGTAAGATAGTTATAACATTCGATTTTTCTATTTACGGAAGTGTTCTGGATATTTTGAACGTGACAGAATACTATGGAGGTTTTGGGTAACTTCTAGAAGTTGTAAAGAAATTTTGAGTAACTGATGTAATGTCTTTGGTTGATTAGCATTGATCATATGTTTTTCATGAATAATTATGCTTACAACATTTTGTTATCCAGTGGTTATTGTCAATAATCAATAATATAATCGGTATTTTTATTTCAATAATTATATTAGGATAGCTTGTAACACTATCACCGAGAAACTGCCGAATGAAGCTCTTGACCTATCAGAGTTGGCGGGCGGGATCAAAGAAACAATCGGGCACCTCCCATTGGTGAGCTCCTCTTCTAACGGGCAACACAAAAAGGAAAGGGCTCATTCGTTACATGTAACGTGCTCGAATCCTGATTGTGCCTATTGCCTTTGAATCCAACAGCCGTTTAGCCGATAACCCTGATAACCAAGGTTATGTAAGCCAAAGCCTAACAATTACTCTGAACAACTCACCAACAGAGAATCCCACACTCATTGCTATTGTAATCATCGACGTAGCGTCAAGATTCACACCCAAAAACGGCATGATACCTAGCACCCCAAGTGCCACCGATGCAATAGACACACCAATCAGAGGAGCACACAATGGTTGTGGAATAAATAGCAGCGCGACGCAAAGCATTACCGCTGAAATCGATATTTTGTTAACTGGAGCGAAATCAGTGAAATCGACAATCTCACCAATCGATATATACAAGTCCTGGAGCGTTTGTGGCCACATGATTGTAATCATCGACGTAGCGTCAAGATTCACACCCAAAAACGGCATGATACCAAGCACCCCAAGTGCCACAGAAGCAATAGACACACCAATGAGTGGAGCACACAGTGGTTGTGGGATAAATAGCAGCGCGACACAAAGCATTACCGCTGAAATCGATATTTTGTTAACTGGAGCGAAATCAGTGAAATCGACAATCTCACCAATCGATATATACAAGTCCTGGAGCGTTTGTGGCCACATGATTTCATATTGATCGGCTAGATTCCATAAGGGTGTGTACGTGCTCAAAGCGTACTGTGGATGATCATCACAGAATTTCCTTAAATGGATCCATGTTATAAAACTGATTAGAATGAATTTATTGATTGTTTGGAAACGGAACTTGGGGACGGGAAACGAATTTAATTTATTTGGTCAAAAACCCTAC